GGTCCAGGGGTGCACACTGCGATCGGATCCTTGCGGTTGAGGTCCAGGCGTGCACACTGCGATCGGATCCTTGCGGTTGAGGTCCAGGGGTGCACACTGCGATCCGGAGCTGGCGGAGGCGGAGGCGGAGGCGGGGGAAGAACAGCTGTGATAAAATCTAACAACCCTCACCTGGCAGGTGGGGAAAAACTGCAATGTGCATCGAAGTGTAGCAAGCAAAATGCGCACTGCAAAAACACAATTGTCTATAGAAATGCAAGCTGAGGATAGCTGAGGTGTTTGCATCTGTCTCCTCTGTGGGCGGACCTCAAGATCGCGTAAACAACTTTTTCTTATGCATTTTGATGCCATTCTTGTCCTTACCGTGTCCCAGGTCCCGACATTTCAGGTATGTGCCGTGCACTTTAGCTGACAGAATCTTGGACCTATGCACCGCCAGTACATAGGTTTCAGGGCTCTGAGGACCTGGCTAAGGCCAAAGGGACCTTGTGGGCCGCTTGAACCTGGTTCTGATCATCGTTGCATTCAAAACTGAATCTTTTCATCTTTTGCCCAAAATTTCGGGCGGCTCCACTCATCGGGGCTCACACTTTTGGAATTCGATGACTGTGATGCCTGTCGTGTTCGTCTCGGTTGCAGGCAAGCTTTGAATATGTGCACGTGACACGTATACGGCAATACTATGTAATATTAATATATATATATATATGTATAAGTTGCATGTAGTTACTTTACTTAATATACAAGATTATATAAGGTCCAAACACCACATTTGGTTGGCCTGCTGCACAGCCCGCGCTGCAGCACGGAGCTCAAATGGCAGCCCCATTGCATCCAGAATGCCTCGCACAGCTGCGCGCAAGTATGAAATGTCCGCTGCAAATTGCAGGACCATGTCCGGTCCATGTCTGGGGCTGCTTCAGCACTAGTTTAGTCAGCGCTAGATAAGTTCTTGTTGATATATTGAACACACTTTCAGTGGAGGCTGGAGGCTCTACTTCTTAGCCGCACCAATCTGTGAAAAGTTTGCCCAGATATGCCTGACTCTTCCATTTTCACCTTTGTAGCGATCAAGCCTGTTAGGACCTGAAAGCACTCAGAAAGTCAATTCTACAAATCGAATCACCCAAACAAAGCAAATCCCTTTACTTTAGATAAAGCAGCGCATGCAAATAAGCGGCATCTGGAAAGTTGATCGGATGAGCCAAGCCTCCGGTCAGACGCAAAATAGCTCACGCACGATTCATGCGGTTCCTATAGTTTTTGCCACGCCTCGAGGCGAAAAGCCCTTCTCGATCAAGAATTCCCTCACCTTGGAATCTACCAGTTGGGTGATATTGAATTTCTATGAATTTCTGAATGCAACATTGAATATAAACAATAGTTTGACAAAGTACCAATACCATTGATAGTGCATAATATGCAGCTCATTTGCCATGACACAAAGCGAATTGTCGAGCTCTCCCTAACGTCAGACTCCGTCTTGCAAGGGCCCCAAATGGTCCCAAATCTCAGCCATGCACCAGGGGTCCCAAATCAAGGGCAAAAAGCTGATGATTGCCCACCTGGCCACTTGGGTTGCGGGGACAAACATGGAGGCAGGACTTGAATTACAATCCCTGGGCTCAGTGGTCACCCAAGTATCTATATTTACATCCCATTTGGTATATCATGTTGCCGCTGCACTGTATGTGTATTTAACTATTTTTTATATACATATATACATAGCGGAAAAACCAACAGTATTACACAATTACACATATTATATAATAATACAATATATATATATTATATTATATTATATTGTATTATATATGTTCTGCATCGTGACTATCATGTGTTGCCGAAGTCATTGTCAATACCTGCCGGGCGTGCCAAAATCACTGGCCGGCCGACCTCTTTGGGATCCGGAACGCCATCGAGGCCAAACCTGCGAGTCCCAGCGCTCATAGAATCGGCGCGAAAAAGCCCCTAGTAGCGTCCTTGTTCCTAGTAGCGATGCCAGGAGCCCCCAGTAGCTTCTTGCTCCTAGTAGCGATGTCCTTTGCTCCTAGTTGCCAAAGCACCTCCTTGCGCCAGTTGAAGCATCCCAGCTGCAAAACACTGGGGACCTGGCAGGGAACAAATGTGGCATTAATCATTGGAGAGCATGCGTTAAGCCGATGGAAACCGGCTGTTGAGGCATGCCGGATTGGCACCAATGCAGCAATTGGCTCAATGTTCCGTGAGCCCTGCTCCAGCACATCCAATGATGGATATTGAAAGTCATCTCGGCAACCGGAAAGGATTCGGGACGCGTATTGCTCGCTCTCTCGATGCACAAAGTCAGTTCTGATTTCTGTTGAATCTCAACTCTCTGAGGTTCAATCCAACATAGTTGCGTCTCTTGGGTTTCCTCATTGCGTAGCTCCGTTGGCACTTGCACTTGGTGCAAATGTTCATGCCAGGCATTGCGACAGCATGGACTGTGACCAAGCAAAAATTTGCGCTGCAAAATTGGCCACACTCTTGCTTTCTTGTGATCAATGCCCTTGGCCACTGCTCACCCCTACCAGTACCACGAATCTCAGGAATCCAAGATCGTGGCTTCATAATAGGTGAGTCCTCAAGGGGCGTCGTGTTGGAACGGTCAGATGTCATAGTGCATCTGGTCAATTTGGCGTTTAATGCAGCACCACGGTTTCTTTGATCCTTTCCACTTGCCAACTTTGTTTGTTCACTTGCTGCTCCGCATCGGTCCTTCAGCATCTGAGCGACATTGATACGGCGGTCTAATGGCGCATGCCCAGACTTTGTGAGCTCAATTACCTGGCTGCGGGGACAGCATGTTCTCTGCACATCGGGATGTTTGAGGTTGAATATGGCATGGAAGAATGTCAGGGTTGCCAAACATGTTTTGGATTGTTTCGGCTTCGGTGGGCCTACAACAACTCAGGTTCAGTCCTGGCGGATCTTGAAGCATGACACTGACACAAAACCCCGCCGCACCGCCCGCATCGCGGCCTTCAGGTTCTTGTCACCACAACGAGCTTGCAGCAGGCCCCTGCTTATCAGTCATAAATCACAGTTGTAAACAACCAAGCCACATACGTAATAGCAATGTTGGAGAACAAGTCTTCGCCACTCATTATCCAGCTATAGAGCCCCGAGTTGTTGCCAAAAAAAAAGCGACAGAATTTAAAACAGTGCACGCCGGAAGCCCACACATAGTGCTTATTTTCGACTTTAAACGACCGCCTTCTGAGTCTATCAACAACGTGGGGTGATTTTAGGTAGGTCATGGTAGTAATTTAGGTTACTAAGAAGACCCTAACTGTCCACCTCTGTCCACCTTGGCTGTCCACCCTGCCTGTTCACCCTGTCCCTGTCTGTCCACCCATGACTCGATACAACAATGTAACACCAAACTTCGCGGGCACCGCCAATCATCCCGCTCCCCAGCGACACGCCGCGTTTACAACAGCATGCGTTCCTTCCCCCAATGGCACAGACTCACGCAAACGCACTTTCCACGGAGGCCGCACAAAACCGCATGGCACAGCGACATCACAGCTCGAAAGTTTTAGTCTAATGAAGAATCACTATTTTAGTGTAAATACTTCTAATGGTTTTTGTAAGGGGAAATGGGGGACCCGGGATTAATTACTGTTTATCAATTTGGTTATGAGAACTTGTGCCAGGACCTCAAGCGCTCAGCTTCCTTGTCAGACATCAGCAATCTGTCACCTGTAGTCAAAGCATGCCTGGAAGCACACTCCACCATAAACGGGTTCCAAAATGCATTCCAAGAAGGATACTCGCAAACGGATGCGAACGGTATGTTAGGACTGCTGCTATCCGAGGCCAACAGGAGCGTAGGCCTTGGTGATTGGTGGTCAGGTCAAATGGCACCAATCTGAAGTGCAGAACATTTCAGAACAATTATATATATATATATACCTAAATGCACTTGAAAGAACTTGACTAATTACAGGATTCAGAAGTTTCATCAAACTGCTGTTTGAAGGCATTGGCTCAGCAGTCTTCAAAAGCAGTGTGCAGCAAAAGGGGGTTGATCTCCGATCCCCAATGAACCGATGAAGGTGCACAATGATCCAAAACATCCCTTCCACCTCTCTCATGAGAGCACCTGGCAATGTGATCTGCATAGAATTCCACACCAGGCGCCGACTGTTTTCACGCAGCAGTTCGCCACAATGCTGGTTTCGCGGCAGGAGATACAAAGAGCGAAGTGGGTGAGCTTGTTGCGTCTTGTCCTGCCCAACTTACTTGTACACGTGGCAGTGAAAGCCATCCAGCCTTCAAAGGTATCAGAGCAAAGCTTTGGATAGCCTGGTTTGGATCGGACCCAAGAGGTGCAGCAACTTGATAGCTAACTGGTCCGGACAACAAGTACCTGTCTGACACCTCTCCTTCTCCTTGCAAAATCCGAACTCGAATCTCCTCTTCGGTCGAAAATGACATGTTCTTCACTTGAACCCGCACCAAAACAGAAGCACCAACTGTTCCTGTTGAGCATACTTCAAGCTCAACTTGGGGCGAGGTCGGGCTCTGCGGGATAGACTCCAAAGGCCATTCCACAATGGCATTGGGCAGCGCTTGAGGCAGTGATTTTCTTCGACCCTCTTCACACCAAAGAAAGAATTCCTCTGTGCCCTTTCCTCTCTGAAATTGTACCTGCAAACGTGGCTTTTCTGATGGACCGGGTGTCCAAAGAAAGGAATGCTGAGAGCCGCTGGCCATGAAGCCAGGTGTTCCCAAGCACTTCGCCATTTCCGAGTCACCCAGGCATACCTCCACAGACTTTGTCTCAACCGGTGTTGACAAACATTTCAATGAAAAGGATACCGGCCTACGCAGTGCCAGTGCTGTAGCAATCCGCTCCTCCGCAATTTGCAACTTAATTGCATGTTGGAAATTGATATAGCAGGAAGGGCAGCTGATCTGAGCACCATCCAACTCAAAAACTATTCTGAGCGCCATCTTGCATGGCCTTCCGCACTGCACGGCAATTGGCCATGCAAAAGCTTCGTTGGCTCCAGGCGTCTTCAACTCACCAGGCTTGAATGCCAAAATGCCAGCTTTGGGAATTAAGGCGTTGGCCACATCTGCAACGAGGATCTTGGAGCCCAACGGCATCATTTCCCATGGCTCAGATATCAGCGACACACTGGGCAAACAAGAACTCTCCAATGGACTGAATGGTGCAGGTGGAGTAGATGGAGCAAGCTCGGCATCCTCGTCCACAATGTGAAAGCGTGCAGAGAGGAAAAGTGGAGAACTGACGGAATGCCCGTTGGGTGGGGAAAGGGTAACATAGAGAATAAAGCACTCGGAGACCAAAGCTTTGGCTGGATCGACTGGAAAGAATAGGTCCGATTTGACCGCCTTCATCTCGCTCCATTGAGCGCCAAGGCGGCCACGTGGCAAACTTCTGGAGAAACTTTCGGGAAAACCAACCTCCTCCGCACCAGGAAGTCGAAAGTTGAAGCCAGCTGTTTGGCGACGATTGCTAGCGCCTGCAGGAAAAACGTGGAAAAGCGACTGGGCGAGTTGATGGATGAAAATTCATGGATGTTAGGAGAACATGCCAAGTATACTAAGTATATACTGCTGATGCAACTAAGCAAATAAGGCTGCTTGGATCACGTATGTCTCTGAAATCTTGGCAAATATAACTTCCAATGTCTAACATTCGTTGGCCTAACTGCTGCAAACCCAAGAACTTACCCAGAATCAGCACGCCTACGAAAATGATGGCGGGTGAACTGCTCCAAGTGAATCGGACAGAATTGACATTCGCCGGCAAACCCTTAAGCTCCAAAGGCTGCTCTGCCTGAAGCGATCGCAAGGTGACGACCAACTTAAGCTGAGCTAATCTCCCCTGAAAAAACAATAATTACATACAATATAGCCACACAGAAAATCCTACATCATACAGTACCAGTTCATTCATAGCGTGCATGCATTTTTTCCAAGGTACCCGCCACGTTGTCATCTCCAAGTCCACAGAGATGTTATCATCATCGTCGGTTTGTGCAATACATGTTCCTAGCTCCAGGTCTACAGGCAAAAGGGACGTATCAAATGTCAGGGTAAAGTCCAACAGCCCCTGACTCAGGACGCCCGAATGCAGTTGTATTTCCACTGAACCAGCTGGCAAAGGATCTGCGGCCTTCCGCACCAGCTCAAGGAGCTCCTCTCCCTGCCTTGGATCATTCCGAGCAGGAACAGTTTTCATCATTAAATACTCGAAGGCGTCTTTGGCGAAGCTACTCCTCAACTTGTCCGTGGGAGTAGGCTCCAAGTCATCCAGACTTCCAGGAGCTGCTCGAGTGGATGAGCAAAGTGCAGGTGGTGGCAGCCCGAGTTGTGCGCATCCACAAAGCAAAGACCGTTCCAGGAAAAAACGCTTGAAGGGCGGCCAGGATGCTGAGGAGGGAAGGGTCTTGTCTCGAAGCCTTTCAAATAAATCTCTTGCTGCTTCCTGATGGCTGCTGCCAGGGTCACACAAGTAGGCCTCTGCAACCCGAATCTGCGAAGATGTGACCCAGGCAGTGAAGCCACGCTCTTTCCCAGCAGCTTGCGCCCGAATCAAGAGCTTCAAGCTTCGCTCAGCATGCTCTGAATACTTCTGTGCCTGGTCAAGAACCAACCGATCTTGCCCGCAAGCATTTGGATGGCCTGAATGAAGTCTAACCTACTATATAATCTATATATCTAGATTAATCTATTAAGATATATAAACAGTTATTTATGGTTATTTGATGATTGAATTTCAGTGCATGCCTTTGTGTTCTCATCATGGCTCGATTGAAAAACAAATCAACTAGCATGAACACCCTCAACTCTTATTCAATTCGTAGGAACTTCAACTTGAAGATTTGCTCTTCCGGAATGTGCATGCCCTATTCCATGAATATCCATGAATTGTGCGCATCCTGCTGCCTGGGCCAAGGCCAATCGCAGTGCCACCTCTTGGTTTGGCATTGACACCTCCGAGGGGCGCTCCAACTTTCCAGCCTGGACGCAGCAACATCGAGCTGGGTCTTCCCAGTTGGTGTATGCCGGTATGAGTATGTATGAGTCATATCACAGCATTTCGTCTGGACAACAAATCTCACCACCAGCCGTCAGCAAAGCCCTCCAGCCGCCATTTCCAGCCTGGCCCACGAAAGGAGATGGGATGAGCTCCCCACCAGCATCGGAAGGCCGCAAATGTCCAGGCTCCAAGAATCGCACGGCCCACTCTCCTTGGAAGCGCCAGCAAAGCAGAACAATTGAACTTTCTGTTTATTCATGTGGAGCCAGCAACGAACGCAAGTGATTTGACTTGATTTGACAACATATGATACAATTTATGTATCAGCGCGACTATTATATATATATACATATCAAGCCAAGGTGCGCAAACGCCGTGCGTACACAGCGGCTGCTTGGAAATGAAAGCCGGGGAACTGCCAAATGTCACCGGTATCGATAAGCCTCTCCATTTTGGGGGGAGGGCGGACAGGGTGTTGAATTCATAATTACAGAGTTGAGGAGACGAGATGTCAACTAGGGATGGCTGGAGGATGTGCATGCCAAGTCTGCACCTATTTGGTGTTGATCGGGCTTGACTATGCTTGACCAGCACCACAATTCATTGAAGTATGCTTGTCGGGTCGTTCTCGTGGTATCAGGTATAAACACTTAGGGGCAAAGAATACAAAGCCCAAACTTCTCTGGCAAAGCCAAGCGACAAAGGAGCTTTTTGTATGATAATGTCCAACAAGTCACCTGGCGTCTCTGGCATATCCACCATTGCAAGGTTGAAAGTTAATGGGCTCCACTCGTACCAAGCTCAGACCTTTAGATTCCTAAAGCAGCTTCAACACACCTTCTGAGGCAATCAATTTGATGTACACTCTTGCTGTCAAAAGGCCGAATATCTGATGGTTCCTCAGTAGGCACCAAGGTAGGCCTCAACCTGCATTTATTGGCCAATAGCAGTTTGGTTGATGAAAGCCTTTTTCACGCTTTTTCATCTTGTATGATTTTTGCGGGTATGTACTGCTTGTTCTGAATCACGCGTTGATTGCATCGGAGGCGTATCAACAAGCCAAACAAGCACCCTTTTGACGATTTGACGAACGATCGTGGGGGACTAGACTCTAGCCTGATACCGTCTTGGTCCCATTTAAAGTGGGACTCTCGCGCAATCGGCATGCCTGTCTCATATAGACTTCACCCAAGCAAGCAACAGCAACATCGTGTATTGAAAGTGGACTAATAACTTAAGGGTTGATCACTAATGAGCCTCAATGGGAATGTGCAATGACATTCAACGCTTAGACTAGACTATGCCCCACGATCGCTTCCTCCCATCCAAGAATCAAGGACAGCCAATGCCATTTCTGCCATGCATGCTCACCATCAGGACAGGAACGTCTTAACGAGGCCACATGAATGCGACAGTGGTGAACAGCAGCTCCAACGTCGTGAGAACCGAAGTATCGCTGGTACATCCTGTGCACACAGCAATTGAGACGAGTAAATGGATGCAAATATTACCTGCATGCACTGGCCACAGTCCAGGAAAAGGCTGGAACCCAGGCAAGATTGTTGTTGAGGCACTGAAGTTACCTTCTGGAGACCGCCTCTTGGGACAAACAAACTCCATCCAGTTCCAGTAGTGGGAAGCTATATACTAGGAACAAGTGCATCGCTTCTAGTAACAAGTGCCTTACTAGTAGTAACAAGAAGCTATTGGAAACGAGTGCCTTACTAGTAGTAACAATAAGAATTTAATTAGAATTGTAATTACTAGCAAAGGAATAGACTAGGACCGCCATTTGGGACTTCCATATGTTGGAAGTTTGGGCATTCATCATTAACCGTCTGCCAATGAGAATAGATCTACGAACAATTGTCCGTCCTCACTGTGATGTGATTGCACAGGTCCATTCTTTCGACGGCATCAATGACATCCGAACTTTTCAGCAGCTGCTCGTAAGCCTTGATATATGCTGTCAATGCCGCTCTGGCATCCTTGCGAAATTCATTGAGAAAGGCGGCTTTGAAGTTCGTTCGTACCTGACAGCACTGCAAAACAAAAGAACATGTTGGTCAGCCCTGGCAGTCACACCAATGATAAAGGCCTTGGACCAGGCCTTGGCATTACCTCCACACTAGTGCGCTACAGTAGCTTGCCTGCATAGCAGCTTGAACTGACGGATTCGGAATCTTGGGATTCCAAGGCCTTCGTACACGTTTCTCCTGGAAGGTGTCACCAAACGATTCTTGTGAACCAGAGTGGGCCGAATGCCGAACAACTCTTGCGTTCTGACCTTCCAATTTTAATTGCTGTATATATTTCTGATTGTTTCATGAAGGATCTCAAGCCCCATCAAGCCCCCAAAACAAGAGCCTTACATATGTTGCCCCTCCTCATGACATAGCCAACCCAACCAAACAAACACAAAGGTGAGCAACAAAAAACTGTCGGTTTGCTTGCAATGCTCCTCATCCTGGTAGAAGGCCATGGCGTCCTGGTAAATACGCCTCTCCAGTGCTGGTGCCTGTCGCCGTGGCTGGGCTGAAACTTGACTGGTGGGCACGCTACAGCCACCACAGCAATCGAACGGTGAATTCGGTTGGTCTCGTCATGGTAGAATCAGTCAACTCTGCTTGGCCGGTGTTTCTCATGTTGGCCTTGGCAGTCACGTCTTCTCGACCATTGGCGACAACCAAGGCTTCAGACTGGAAGGGCGAGGATGCAGCCTGGCCCCAATGGGACTGATCTTAGGGATTTATGGAGTCATGGGGTAGGAAAAGGCTGGTTGGCACTCAGTTTCAAGTTTCAAGTAGAAAATATTGCCAGAGCTTTTTTTAATACAAAAATAATCACATATATATTTTCTATTTGATGTGCTTGGTTGCTTTGGCAATATCTTTTGTTTGACCTTCACTTGTTGTTCTGCTGTCTTGTGGATCTGACCTTCAGAAACTTGTGGCCCAAAGGGGGGTGGCGAAAGCTAGGCAAATAAACAACGCTGGGGCTCTTTAGGCAGCAAAAGCCTGGCCGGGAATCGCAACATGCCATGGCCAAGGGAAAAGGAGAGTGCCAACAGCGCCCCCCCAATATGACCCAACACAGCCAACACATGGCAACACACAACCACCCCAGCAACCGCCGCAGCAGCAACAGCCACAACAACAATAACTGTAACCAGCAGCGGCAGCGGCAGCAAGCAGAAGCTTCCAAGCAGCAGCAGAAGCAGCAGCAGCAGGAGTAGCTACCAAGCAGCAGCAACAACAGCTACCAAGCAACAGCAGCAGCAGCTACCAAGCAGCAGCAGCAGCAGCTACCAAGCAACAGCAGCATCAGCTACCAAGCAGCAGCAGCATCAGCAGGAGCAGCAGCAGCATCAGCAGCAGCTACCAAGCAGCAGCAGCAGCAGCAGCAGCCAAAGCCAAGCAGCAGCAGCAGCAGCCAAGCAGCAGCACCACCCAAGCAGCAGCAGCAGCAGCAGCCAAGCAGCAGCAGCAGCAGCAAAGCAGCAGCAGCAGCAGCAAATCAGCAAATCAGCAGCAAAGCAGCAGCAGCGGCAAAGGCAGCAGCTACCAAGCAGCAGCAGCAGCAGCAGCTACCAAGCAGCAGCAGCATCAACAGCAGCTACCAAGCAGCAGCATGCAGCAGCAGCAGCTACCAAGCAGCAGCATGCAGCAGCAGCAGCTACCAAGCAGCAGCAGCCACAACAGCAGCTACCAAGCAGCAGCAGCAGCAGCAGCAGCAGCAGCAGCAGCAGCAGCAGCTGCTACCAAGCAGCAGCAGCATCAACAGCAGCTACCAAGCAGCAGCAGCTACGAAGCAGCAGCAGCAGCAGCTACCAAGCAGCAGCAGCATCAACAGCAGCTACCAAGCAGCAGCAGCAGCAGGAGCAGCTACCAAGCAGCAGCCGCATCAACAGCAGCTACCAAGCAGCACCACCAGCTACCAAGCAGTAGCAGCAGCAGCAGCAGGGAAAGAGTGAGCTTTCCTTAGAGTCTTTCGTGCCCCAACATTTGGTCTCGAACAATAGCACATATAGGTGCTGCCTGAGTAATTGTAGAAGGGCGACGTGGAAAGACAAATATATCTGATATATCTGTTTTTTCACGAATAAATGCTGACGATGCAGCCAGCAGCGGTGTGCATGATTGACATCTAGAGGTTGTACGCGAACATGCGTCAGCGACCGAAGACTCCGTCGCAACGCTTGTGCATTCTCCCTGTCGCTCGAACATGGAACGCGGACTACCATGAGTGAAGCAAACAGCCCGTTCAAACATCTTGCTGGGTTCTGTCATTCATGTGTGAAGTAAGTATCATCTTTTGATCTGCATGGATAGCGGATAGTGCACTCTGATTTGTACTCTTGGGTTGTGGGGTGGGTACATGCCTGTACAAGCTTCTTAAGGATATAATGAAATTAGCATCGTTTCACGACTCAGAGGGAATGCAACTACTCTCGATTCTAACGAATTGGCTTTCTTCAGCACCAACAGCAGCCAACAACCCCAAACAGCAACAGCAGCAAAACGGAGCAGACAACAAGCAGCAGGCAGCCATGCAAGCAGCAAGCAGCAGCAACCAGAACCAGCAAGCAGCCAAGAGCATCCAGCAGCACCAAGCATGCAAGCAGCAGCAACCAGCAAGCAGCCAAGAGCCAGGCGCAGATAAGATGCCAGCAGCAGCAGCAGCGACCAAGCAGCAGCAGCAGTTACCGAGGAGGAGAGGAGAAGGGTGGAGTTGAACCCCGCGAGGGGGGGGGTGTCTAGTCCTGATATATCAGGTAATAGCACTCAGGTCCTCAGCTCCCACCCTCCTTGCTAAAGCAAGACAGACTCCAGCTAGCTACAGCTAGCTTTCGTGACAAATTCAAAAAAATCGAGGTGCTTTACCGTTTTGTACCGGGATTCTGGAAATCTTGGATGGTGCACTAGGTCCTCTGATTTTTGGGTTTAACTTGCAACGTGTGTCCCGGCTAAATTTTGGACAAGATCATCCAAAACTTCAAGAATTCACTGTGAATATTACGGAATCAAGCTTCTCTGGCAAGACCGTTCAAACAGAAGATATTGGAAGAGTGCCCAAAAGGCATCAAAAAAACATCAACAAAAGGACCTCTTGCACCATGTAAGTTCTTCTATTTGAATCCTTGCTTGGAAACCACCAAAATTGCACCTTCTAGTTAAAATATTCAAAACATTTCTAAAATAGAATACCGGATTATAGATACATAAAAAGTGAGGGGACCCGCCAGGCCTCGCAAACGCTTAGAGCATTGTGTTTCACCCAAAAAGTTCATGAGAGCCTCCACTCCCGCATAGGCATCTGATAATACCCACGGTGTTCGCAAGATCAATTTAAAATATATACTCGAGGATGCTTCTGCCGTGTCCTGCTTTGTCCAATTCCTGTCCCTAGAACCCGCTTTTCGCAGGTGCCCTCTTTTGCCCCGAGGCGGCCTCCACACAAAACACAAAAGGGACTGAAACAACATGTTTCCTTGAGGTCTTGAGGTGCCTCTGCGAGATGGTGTTCCAAAAAACACTGAAGGGCAGCAACCTCTTCATATAGTTCTATCAAAAATGTCTTTCCACACCTGCATCGACAAATCAACTCATGCAGCGACTCACAAGATTCAATTGAAACGCTCGAAGATGCATCTGCCATGTCCTGCTTTGTCAAGGGTATTATCGCCAGAGCCCGGTCTTGGAAGTGCCTTTTTTGCTCGGAGACGAAAAACGTGCCAAAGGGCACCAACAAAAATTTTTCCG